TCAGCAAATACTTAGTGGATACATGAATGGTCAGTGGAAAACCTTCCATGGATGTGGTAAGAGAGGTCTTTTTAATGGTCTTTTCAATATTTGGGGAAGATAACCTGAACCATTACAGGAGTTGGTTGGAGGGCTGAGAGGTGGGGGGGAAGGGACTTAATTAGCAGGACTGTAGGTGAGAGTTCATCAGAGCCTGAATTTAGGCCCTGGCAGTCGGAAGAAAGTGAATGGTTGAAAAATGGTCGAGAGAGATTCTCGAGGGCTTCATATATTTATTCCACAAACATTTAATAAGTACCTATTAAATTCTGTGCACTGTGTTAATCTCTGGGGATAGGATAAATGAGGCATAGTTTCTATACTCAAGGAGTTTATGCTGTTGGGAGAGAGAAAAACAAAAGTGGTTATAATACACTGTGGTAAGAGCAGGAAGACACTAGTTGTTAAGTACAGACTGTGTGTGCATCAAGTGCCATGCTGGGCGCATTACGAGCTCATCCCATTTAATCTCACAACCTCGTCGTATTAACCCCACTTTACAGGTGAAGACCTCCGTAAGGCTCAGGGAAGGAGTACAGATGGAGGCTCGCCTGCCATAAGTCTAGAAATAGGTAGTTAAATGTTGTAAATCAGACTAATAAACCGATAAAGTCTACTCTGTTTTCTTGTCTTGACAAATAAAGGACTGGGCAAAAGCAGGTTTACAGTTGTGAGTTCATGAAACAGTTTATCTTGTATTATTATTTATTAAATTATTATTTGTATTATAACTGTAAACCGACTTTTGCCCATCTCTGAATGCTTTTATAACAACCTGGAAGGCCAGGTTCAAACTCAGATTCTCAGACTCCTCAGCAGTCCCTAGCTTGTGCCATCCCCACTTTCTCTCATGTGTGGCTCCAAGCCTACAGGTGCACGCTCCATTCACACCTTGCACAAGTAGCCACCTTTGGCCACCTCCCCACCAGGAGGGTGGCTCCACTGAAGAGGCCATGCAGAGCCTGGGAGCTGGCTAGGGGCCTTTGGGCTGGGAACTTCAGAGCCTTGGGTACCTGGGTTGTGGCCTGAATGGAGGGCCGTGGACTCTGGGTGAGGGGCACAGTTAAAAGAGGGCCAGGGCAGGGCCCTTACTCCAAGCCCCCCTCCCCTTGCTCCCACCTTGGTCTAAGAGCAGCACTGTAGGAGGAACCAGATTGATGAGCTGACCCCAGTGTACATGGCAGAAAGTGGGATGACCAAAATCATGCAGGACCGTCCAGGTGCATGGAGAAGGGGCACCTCAGTCAGTCAGGCAAGTCAGTTGCTACAAGAATACTGATTAGTGAATTGATTGGGGGCAAAGAGTAGGGGGCTGTCAGGGTTTGGGAGGAGTGGTTTTTAATCTTGAAGGGGTGGGTCCAGGACAGAACTGGAGGTGGAGGACAGCGTGGCCTGCAGCCCTTGTCCTCAGCCTGAGGCTGAGGGAGGGTGGCGATCAGAGTTGTGCTTGTGGGTTAGGGAAGAGAAATGAAACTGCTGATGGTAGATTCGGGCCAGATCCTGAACAGTAAGTGTCCTTTACCCTAAAGGGACAGAAGGGAACACAGTCACATTTAGGTAGAAGAGCTGAGGGGGAAGTAGAAAGCAAAGATGGCTCACAGCTTTCTTCCCTGAAGACCAGGGAGGTAAGGGATCCTTGACAGAAACAATCCAGAACAAGGCACAAGGCACTGGGCTCTCCCACTCTGAACTAAGGTTAGTAGAGATGCTGGAGGAAGGAAAGAAAGCAAGTACTACAGTGTCTGGGAAAGTAGCTAAGTTAAGGTGTGGGCCAAAGAGAGAAGTAGCTGCACACGCACGCACACTCACACACGAGCAGCAGCAGTAGTTGAGGGGCGGGGAGCCCGATCTGCACGGGGCCCTCATTGCCTGGGAGTTTCCAATTTGAGAAGGAACTTTTAGTTGCTCCGCATCCAGGACACAGAGATCCCCGGATTTAGCCATCAGAAGTTGGGGTCATAGGGGTAGAAACCAGTTTACAAGGAACGGAGGGGATATAATGAGAAAGTAAAAGAAGTTGATTTAGATAATTTTCAAAAAATTAAGTTTGGCTTCATGGAAAGGAGAGAGACTGGAGATTTGTTCGATGGGAAATGGGGTCCAGGGAAGAAAATGAACTTTATGTCGTGGTCGAGGGTGTTTATAATGGTTTATAATGTCCTTGGCTGAGAGGCTGCAGTGCAAGAGGAGAGACTGAAGATAGACGCCCTTTGATAGGACCCCCCCTCCCCTCGCCCCCCTCCTCCATGGGGGAGAGAAGAGCAGATGCCGCCCCCCTCTGCCGCAAGACTCACCCCAGTTCCCGTCAGTCAGGTGAAGCCGGTGGCTTCGGGCCACCCCCTGCCCAGGACTCACCGCCACAGCATCAGTGGCTGTTTTGTCATGAGGCCTCCCCCCCAGCCTTGTCCTCTCTGTCCCCCTTCCCTCCATTATTTTTCATAGCACACACTGTACGACATCTGCTCTCCTGTTTGTCGTGGTTTTCTGTCCTGGTAAGAACTGGGCTCTGCTGTTAGGACCGTGCCTAGGGCATGCAGAGGCTCTGTGCATATTTGCCTGGTGATGCACAGGACGGAGGAGGGGAGAATTGACGGGCGGGACCCCAAAGCCAGGTCGGCAAACCCTGCAAAGGGCCAGGTGGGAAATATCTTACATTTTCTGGGCCGCGAACAGTCTCTGTCACACATTCTTCTTTGTTGCTTTTAAAAAATAATCCTTTAAAAATGTAAAAGCCATTTTTAGCTCACGGGCTGCACAAAACAAGCGACAGGCCTGATAGCTCGCCGGCCATGGGAAAGTCAGGGCAGCAGGATGGAGCGCAGCTGAAGGGGTGAGCTCGGAACAGGGAGGTGAGCGCCTGCCTCGGGAGGCCTCCCGAAGGGAAGGGAGGGGAGCACGAAGCATGGGGAGCCCTGGGGTGAAGGACAGGCGGTGAGGAGCTCATGGCACCAGCCTCCCGCCAGGAGAAAGCGGGGCCTGTCGGGTGTGAGACACGCAAGGAGCAGGCAGGCGTTGGGCGAGCAGGTGCTAATGAAATAGAGATGGACAGGAACATCGAGGAGAACACGGCTCAGCCACAGACAGGCCGCATGTTCTAGAAGACGAGAGGGAAGTGGGGAGGAGATCCCGAGAGTTACAGCTTGCATGCTGTAGAAACCTAAAGGTGGCTGGCCGGGCACACTATTCAGAACAACGTTGGATTTGCCTCATACTCTTGATAAAATCACTTCTAGAAATAACAAAGGAATGTGAGCTAATTTGTGAATGATAGTATCAGTAATTAACTTTATTAAGGGCCTAAGCTCTTTATTAATGGCCAAGCTACAGCCACATCTCATTTAATCATATCATACGGGCTCTATCTCTGGTTGACAGGTGAAGAACCTGAAGCTTAGAGAAGTTAAGAAACTCTCCCAAAGGCCCAAAGTTCTTAAGCGATAGAGCTGGGTGAGCCCGATGGAGCCTGGCTGACACCCGGTCTGTGCGCTTAGCTTATCACAATGAGGTGCTGATTAATGAATTACTATCGGTGTGGAGGAGGTCTTCAGTGACAAGTCCTATCCCCTCTGTCTTGTTCAGCATTTTTATAATGCTTTAGGTGAAGACACAGATAGTGGACTTAGAATATTCCAGTACTGTGGAACCAGCAAGAGTAGGGAGTACATTAGATGACATATGAGAATTCAGGATTACCTCAAACTGGAAGGGTTCACCGAGGGACAAATGCAACAGGGATGAGAATAGAACCCTTTTCTTAAGTCAGAAAGAACCATCAAGTGCAGTGTGTCTTAGCTGTTGGTGTGTAGGGGGGAAATGCTTAGAGGTCTCAGTCCCCTCACTTTAAGTACTGTGGTACAAAAAAAAAGCAAAACCCTGGTGGTAATGCCGGGGGAGCACTGTCCTCAGACATTTCTGAAAGTTTTCAAAGAAGACAAGTTAGACTTGTGCTCTGTGTGTGACCTTTGTGGTCAGAACTCAGAATAATAAGCGAGGCCTACACAGAGCCAGAGCTTGACTCAGAAATAACTTCCCCCAAATTAACCTGTTCAAAATTGTAACCAGTTGCATTGGGAATTAATGCATCTCCTGCTGCTGGGTGTGTTTTAAATGCAGGCTGAAAAACAATGTATTATAACTTACTCTAGATGACCTCTGAAGTCCCTGCCTCTCAACATGTCAGATGGTAAAGCATTTCTGTACTATTTTTTCAAAACAGTAAACTTCCCAGCTTTCTCCTGTGAGGTGTTTGCAACCTGACTTGGCACAGTGATAGATGAGCAGTGGTGTGCGTATCACAGAACTTCTGTTCTGAACTGATGCTGTGCAAATTCTAGTTTTCCACTTACCATGCAACAAGATGTTTAGCACACCGTTAGGCTTTAAGTACTTTTCTAAAGTGACTGTGTAGTTTACTTGTGTATAATTCTTGCCAAAGGTTATACTGACTTTGTACCATATTGCTGCCAGTACTTTTCCGAAACCACATTATATGATACAATTTTTAGTAAGCTTACCGAGGAACACATCTAAACAAGAGGTACCTTGAAATGCTCACCTATCTGTCAACAGATTGTATTCAAACGTACAGGATGAATTTGTTTCAGGAAGGACATGATCTACTGACTTCCTGAGACCATTAAAATTAGTTCTTTAACTTAGTTCTGTGAACTGCCTTGTTGTGTTTTTGCCCTATTTTTGTAATATGTATTCAAAGTTTTAATTTTTTAACATTATCAATATAAAATTAACTGGATATATATTACAACCCACTAGTTTGATTTTTTTAAAGGTATTAAAAAACATATCTTTTTGTTAGTTACCATCATTGAGTCTTTCTGACATTCATGAACGAATTTGAACCAAAAATAGAAAAACTTTCTATTTTCAGTTTTAATCCTCTACAGTTTACCTAATAATTTAGTGGGCATACTAATTGAAAAGAAACTTTTTTATTTTTTTAGGTGTAATCCCTTTTCATGGATTTTCAATGTATGGTAAGTTGGGCTTGAAAATATTCACTGTTCTATTACACTTTAGAAAATTAAACGTGAAGATCACACTTCACCCACACACTTGAGTTGTTGCGAACATTTTTGAACATTGAGTTTCATATCTGTTCATATGTCCAATGAAAAAACAATGTTGCCATAATTGCTCACGTAGTGATTGCTTGACAAATTAGAATTAAAACAAACTGAAACTTAGAGACACAGACTACAGTACGGTGCTTACCAGAGGGAAGGGGGTGGGGGAGAGTGAAGGGTAAGGGGGCCAAATAGGTGGTGAGTGAAGATGATCTGACGTTGGGTGGTGGGCACACAGTGCATTGTACAGATGATGTATCATAGACATGTACACTTGAAATATATACGATCCTGTTAACCAGTGTCACCCCAATAAACATGTACAGGGGTGCGCAAAAGTAGATTAGTAAAAAAAAAACATACTGTGAAAGTGGTTCTGTGGTTAAACATTTTCTAAACCAATGGAAACTAGAGATCATGTTAATATTTAGTTCTAACAGGTGTAAAATGAAGTTGCTTAAATTCCTGAACTAATTCTCATTAGTCTTTTGAGAAACTAGTAGGTAGAAAGAATGTGAAGTGAAAAACCAAACTGAGCCTGAGTTCATGGTGTCTCCAGACTGGTGGTGTGCACAGCAACCTTCGCGCTGAAACACACGGTCATCCTGAGGTGCGCAGGGAGCACACAGGTGCAGGCCCGAGAGCCCCGAGCGCTCAAGGGATGCAGAACAGGCCTCTCCAAAATGCGCCCCTTGCATGAGGATTATTTTGAGCTAAAGGCAATTGAGACCCTGTGGACTCAAGAAAAACTCTTACCTCTCCCCTAAAGAATTTAAATTGGAGGCCTTGCTCATAATAAGAGTTATTACCAGAAATAAATTTTTATGATCTAGCTGTATGTCAGGGCAAACATCTACAGGGATGGGCAAAAGTAGGTTAATAATAATAATACAATAATTAATAAATAAGTAATGATATAAGAATAAACTCTGTGTTCCATGTACTGTGCCCGCCCCTGTGTTTAGTGACCATGTTCTCTTACTACCGGTGCATTATCCCATTCCTTAGCCCAGAACCTTATTTAAACTTTATTTTACCTTTTTGCTTCTGACCCTCTCATGCATGTGGTATCTCTGAGTTGCTCATGTATTTGGGGTTCCTGTATGTACAAAATTTAATTTGATTTTCTCCTGTTAATCTGTCTCATGCTTGTTTGGTTATTAGACAGCCAAAAGAACCTTTGTAGGGTAGAGGAAAATTCTTTCTCCCCAAGAGTGCCTTTCTGGCCTCATGTGGCATGAAGACTACAAGAAGCTCAGTGAAGATTATCAGAGGAAGAATTCTCTACACCTTAATACCACTTGATTTTTAAATATTTATTCATCGCATATGAATTTGTTGAAGATCGTTGTCCCCACTATTGCTACTCCCAACCTTTAGGCTAAACAAATACATTATGCTTTACTTTTGTAAAAAGAATCAACATTACTGTTAACACTTTTCTTTGTAAAAAGCCCTCAGCGTCCATTGTCAGATAATCATGGTGAATGACATAGTATAAAACATTTGGAGCCAGCTTACAATGACAGGGAGTCAAGGGATCCAGGACCTTTGCATTCTGCTGTCCTTAGTGGTGGTGGCTGGGATGACTAAGTGCTGTGATATATGTTGCTGCGCACACCGGTAGTCCAGGGAAATCGTGAATTACAGGGCACTCTGCTTTATCTCTTTCATAAATATGTGAGGAATTGAAAATAGAAAACTTAAAAAGGTTAAGGACATAAATTTTTACCTCTAGTAATAAAAGTGCTAGCCCTTTTATCCCATTTTCATAATTTCACCTGCAAGAATTTTTCAAGTAAATAGTTTTTAAAAGGTGTACTTGGATGATTTGGAGGACAGTTAATGACGTCAGAAAGTTTAAATCTTCCAACAGTTCTCAGAGCACAAAATGCACCAACTCCCGCCTGTTCACATTTCTGGTCATTTAAGTGGTCTACAGTTTATACAGCCGAGGAGGAAATGTCTGCTAAGGAAATAGATGATGCTACAGAGTTTATATATTCTATTTTAGAAAAATATGGTAAGCATCCACAAATCCTTGAGCAGGAACCACTTATTTAGAGCCAGCGGACTAGGATAATCATCAGTCATCCCCCAGGAACTCCAGTTAGGCCTTCACCACTTCCGTTTTATTTACTGTGTTTCTTTCAAATTATACTAATGCCTTTTCAAAACTGATTAAAAACTTTTCTCTAATTTAAACTTGTCTATGAGTGAACAGTACTATAAAATATGGACTTACTCTTTCACGTTTCATGGACTTACTTTTAAACTTTAGTAGTTCTGCAGTATTACCAATGGATTTTTTATTCTTTCAGTTGCACCACTTTGTTTTCTCTACCACGAGCCCTCCAAGTTGTATCAGACGTTCCGTGAGATGTATGTGCGTTTTTTCTTCCGACTTCATTCCATCTCTTCTCATCCTTCTGTAAGTTCATAAAAAACTGGATCAAACCAGACTCTAATCTGCTTTTTCCCCAAGGAAAAAGCCTCTCACTCAATTAAACTATAAAGCAACAAATTTTAATTTGTGATGTCACCAGCATGTTTCCATAGAATAAATGAAAGAGAAGAAGAAACTGATCTTTAAATATTTTGATATAATTAGAGGGGGAGAGTTCTGTATCAATTGCATTTAGATTATCTTTTATATGTTAAAAGAAAAACCCCCAGAAATTTCTGTATTATTCTCTTTGGAAAAATGCCCGCCTTCCTTGAACGGAATGAGGTGGGCAGTAGGTGCCTGCAGCCTGGCTCCGGCAGACCGGGAAATGCTGCTGTTCTCACTGTTGTGATGATCATCAGCAGCCCTTCTTTGTGAATGAAAATCCAATGTATTCGTCACATTTTTCAGTTTCGTGTTTAGCTGATTATCAGTTGTCATACTAGATGTTTTCTTTGTGTTCGTGCGCTAGGTAGCTCCTTGGGCCTCAACATGAAAGTCAGGGGGAGGCATATTGGGAGCTGAACGCTTGTATCTGTTTTGTTTTGGCCGGTCCTTTGTGGCCGCTTCCCCCGTGAGCCTGAGTAAAAGCAGTGTCTATTTATTTCACTTATTCTTTTCCTCCTCCGGGCCTGCTTTAGTCTGCTTGTGAGTAACTCAGTTTACTCTCCAGAAGAAACATTAAATTGGAAAGTGTCAGGGCTACCAAATTTCCCCAAAGAGGAGACTGTCACTGCCGCTAAACTAGGGAGCTGTCCTCGATTCCCTGTGAGCTGTGTTCCCCTCCCACCTGCCTCGTCTCCAGCTTCGCTCTCATGCGTTGCTAGTGAAAGCTGGCGAGTAACAGAAGTCAGGATGTCACAGATGGGTTTCCTCTCTGAGACACCCTGATTTAGTGCTTCTCTTACATTCATGTTTAATCTGGGATGATCAGAAATATATTAATAATTCTCTAATACCTCATTCTTGGCATCAGCTTTCTTATACTCTATTCCATTTTATGCTTCTGGGTTAAATATATATATATTTTTAATCTGGCTGTTCAGTACACACCATGGTGCTTTCCCTGCAGAGCCCCGAGGCAGACACCCAGCCACTGGACATTCCTCCCCTGTCCCCATGCTGGCCCGAGGTGTCTCTTCTCAGCTAATTGACTGGGCAGGCCCTGCATTGTTCAGTGGAATAGAAACTAGAGGGCTATCTCCTTTTCTGGATTGCAGCCAGGCTGAACGATTTGGAACCGTTACAGCCCTTTTTCTTTAGAAATTCAAAAAGAAGATTAAAACTTCCTCACCAGAGTCAACCCTGAGGAATGCTGAGCCACAGAAAAGACTTTATTCAGAGTCGTCAAGTAAAAAATGCACTTGAAAACCATCTGCTTAAACCGGGTACTTTCTGTACTCTACAAATAATGCCCTTTTAAGAAGGTAGATTTTAGTAACATAAATAAATAAATAAATCTTTACACAAAATAATCAAAATTCTTGTTTGATAACTTTCTGATGCAAATTTCAAGCAGTCAGCAGTCAGCCTTTCCCTGTGGATGGATTTCAGAGAAAGTGGAAAAAAGCAGGAAATTCTTTCCCTGATGGGCGAGGCTGCTGGCACGGGAGGGATTTATGGGGGAGAAAGCAAAGGGTGTGTCTGCGGCACCAGAGAAATACCTGGAAACTGGAATGCATCCAGAAAAAACGAATTTCCCTGGGCTAAGTGATAATACGTGGCTTACCAAGTAGCAGCTTTTCTATAAAATGATGTTTTCTTTGGACTCTCTGAGTATTACATACCAAGTTATGTGCCTATTGTGTTAGAAAGGAGGCTCTGTTGCAGATCTGTTAGGAGCAGGTTTCCATAGAGAGGGAAAAATGTATCTTTAAACGCAGGTTGGAGATCGTTAGTGCATGTCCTGTTTTTGACTCTTAAACAATATAAAAAATAGGTTGACAAAAACATTTATATTGATCGTTCTCTCAGTTCCATTTGAATAATTTATCAGCAGAATTAATTTTAAATACTAAAATACACATTTCTCTTGTGATGTATTATTGTATGCAGGGTATTGTGTCACTCTGTTTGCTCTTTGAAACTCTTCTTCAAACTTACCTCCCCCAACTCTTCTACCACCTGCGAGAAATTGGGGCTCAGCCGTGAGTATCTTTCTCTCTAATTGAAGAACAGATTGTTTGACGTTAGAAGGCTGTCCTTCATCACTGTAGATCACTTGCAAAGATGCAGTAATTTTCCAGAGAAATTAAACTAACAATTTTCCCAATAAAACAGTGATCAAGTAGTAAATTGGAACTCTGTGTTGTGCCAAAAATTCTTGGAAGGATTATTTGCTGGGATTTGTGTGCCTGTTATAAGAATCACCAACATGAACTAATTTCTAGTCACAATGAAAGGTGTTAGCCAAAACTGAAGTAAAAGTTTTTGGAAACAAACGCTACCTGAGAAACGTAATAATACTAAAATTAAGTCAGTGTAGGCTAAATTGATCATAGAACAATTTGTGAAAGCTATATTAAATTAAACTAGTTAAAATCAATGAGTTAGACTTAAAAATCAAATGAATTTAAAAATTTTAAATATCCAGTGGCCAAAAGTTTCTTTGGCATCTCTACATAGATATTTTAAAACCAACCCAAACACTTAATTTGTCAATATTATTTTGTACTTTGTATTTTGTTCTATTGGAACAATAGTTATGTCTTTCATACTGAGAACTTTCTGAAACTGCTCGTCTTTTTCAATCTTAAGGGAATTAATATGGCACCAACAAAGGCAATCTCCGGGCCCCCTTTCTCTTGCTTTAAGAAAATAGCTCAGATATTTACCTACATAATAGTATAACAATGCCAGCGAAGAGTTTGGCTAGCACCTCTCAAGGGCAGAAAATGATGTTTGGATGGTGACGGATAGTGCAGAAATGTGAGGAACTGGTTTATCTCTTAAGGCATCAAAGCCAAAGAGTTCATTTCCTGAGTCCAGAGATAAACAGTTGTTTTAGCATAACCTACTTATAAATAGTGGGGTCTCCTACTTCTTAGGGTTTTTGGGGGGCGGGGAGGCAAAATGAAATTTAATTGCATTTTCTGGTCGATCTTTCAGAGTTATGATAACCCCGTCTCTTTAAAAATGAAGGGTTTGAAATTAGGAATCTATTTCTAAGTTCCCTTATAACTTGAAAACTATTTTTCTTTTGTCTTCGAAGTTTCCTTTTATTCATCCTATGTAGCCATTTGACTGAAATGTAGGAATATAATTTATCGAATAGGAAAAATATGCAGCTATCAAGCACTCTTTCAAGTATTTTGGAAAAAAAATTCAAATGATCATGGCTTGCCTGAAACTGTCAAGACTATAAGATCAATTAGTTGATAGCTAATTAGTGCACAGCCTGACAAATAGAAGGTAGAAGTGAGTCTTCTGAAGGCTGAGCTATAGCGTAAAGGAGGGCTGCGCAGATACAACTCCTCCTCTCAGTACTCAGAGATGTTGGTTTGAGAACTCATGGTGTGACAAATGCCCAGGTGATTTCTCAGATTCACTTAACAATACAATTGGTTGGGCTCTCCCAACCTTTTGTAAGATATTGTCTTTTTGAAAGAAAAAAAAACCCACTTGTAAAATTTATTTTCTTTTTTCTTTGCTTACAGACTTCGCATATCATTTAAATGGATGGTTCGAGCTTTCTCTGGATACTTAGCTACAGATCAGCTCTTGCTTTTGTGGGATAGAATCCTAGGCTATAACTCTCTGGAAATTCTTGCTGGTAAGAGTAACTGCTTGTTTGTAAAACACGTGCAGTTTCTGTCGTAAAGCCCGTTTTCTTTCTCACATTCACCATCTGTATTGCAGTTTAAGTGTAGTTAGCTGTCATTGCTAATCCATGAACATGTATCTGCCTTAGAAAACAAGTACTGACATCCTGTGATCTAGACACCGCTGTGTAACTGCCCAACACCGGTCTACTCCTAGTCTTTCTTTTTGGCTCCCAGGAAAGGCCATTTCTCCTCCTCTCCCACTTTTAGTGCAGCCGGGGCTTCCTGTCTCTCAGCGCCTGGGAGGTCTGTCCCACAGTAGGCACAGGTTCCACCCTGCCCGCCTCTGGCTGTCTTAGCGCATCCTGTGCCCCTTCTTAACTACTGCCTGGAATCAAACCTGCATCGAGCCTCCCTACATAATTGAAGCTTCAGCTCATCAGCTTGGACTTCAATTTATGCAGAATTCAAAACGTTTTCCTTTTCGCTAATGGTTTCTAACTCCTGTGCTGGTGACTGAATGTTATCTTCTAGATATTCTCTTCAACCAAAAATATTTCTTTTCTTTTTTCAGGAAGCCACAAATTCACCTCTTATTTAATAACTTAGCAGTTCTTACAACAGTTATCACACAAGGCAACTGTATGATAACACAGGGCACAGATTTCTTACTGATTATGTTATTTTGCTTCTCTTATACAAAGTAGAGTCAGTTATTTTTATCATTGGGATTATCAGAAAATTCAAATAAACATTACAAGGTTTTTACAACAATGGATGGAAAGCAGAAGAATTGGCAGAGTACTAAGTCTGACCTTTTCCGGTTGTATGGTATTGAATAAATTATTTAACCTGTGTAAGCCTTTGTTTCCTTACCTTATATCGATAGTATTGTAAGACACCTTTCTGGGGTATTGTGGAAATAATACTTAATTGAAGAAGATGTTTTTCTTGTAGAAGATTCTCTAGGTGCCATATTAACATATTGTTGAATGCTGAGAGGTCTAGAGTAATTGGGTGGCATTTTGAACAGGAAAATCAGAATAACAATAAAATGCCGTGAAGATAAATACCACCCCTGGTGTAGTCAGAGGTATCACTTACTGATATTTTTTCTCATTTGTTTTTAAAGCCAATCCAAATATGAGTTAGGAAAGAATGGTCTGCCCTCGTCTCCTCTGGCTGAACAACAGTGATATTTGTAAGCTAGAGATAGAGGAGTCTTAGAAGTCATCAGGTATAACTTCTTTTATGTTCCTGACCCGCGTCCTCACCTCTGAACACTGCGGTGCAGGGTAACCCCGTCTTACCAGTCCTCCCACTCCATTTCCGAGTAATATGACTTGCTAATGTTCTCCTGTAAACCAGGGTTGTCATCACGTTTTCTCTACTCTCATATACCCCTCCTTTCCCCAAAGTCTTCTATTTTCTCGGCTAAATAGACTTGTTTTCTGCTACCATTTCTCAGGCAACAGGGTTTTAGACTTTCCACCAAATAACTCTCCTCAGGGTATGTCCTAGGTTTTGAAAGTATTGTCTAGAGCTTTCCATATCATTTGAAAAAATGTTTAGAGTATATTAAAGAAAGGGATTCAGTGTAAGAAAGTACTTTCTAATAATTAGGACTTTCCAAAAGTAGCATGAATGGGCTTTTAAACTGTCACCTGAAAGGTTAAGATTTCTACTATGAAAGAAATGTTGAATTAGAAGACCTTCAAGGCTTCTTCCAATTTAAATTCTCTCCTTCCATGACTTATCGCCCCTCAGCAAACTGAAGTAAAAGAGAAACAAATGAATGTTGAATACTGCATTTGCTCTAAGCAGGCACAGTGCTGTGAGCTCAATACCTTAATAAAAAAGTTTCTGATGAAGAGGCAGAAATTCAATCCACACTGTTACATCCATCTACTCTCCCTGCATGTTTTTAAAAAAATAAACAGGGAAGAATTATAGAACATCTAGAAATGGAACTAGACTAATGGGAACTCCCCACCACGGAATTCAAATAGCCACAGGGTAGATAATTCCATGTAGATTAGTTTTGATTAGTTAAAATATTTTGTTACTTTTTTGGTCTGAATATTTTGGGTCCACCTCTTTTGCTGAAGTGAGTTATTATATATTGTCCTTAGAAATATTTTAGTAACTATTACTGGCTTTTTTTGTGAATTAATTAGAGCCTCTGTGTAACAGTTTAAAGCAAAGGTGCCTTAATGTTCATGATAGAGTTGCTTAAAGTAATGAGAATAGTATAAAAGACCAAAGTAAATACTAGCATTTCTATACATCATATGAAACATAATTTCGTTGAAAACACCCTGAAGTATAGACCTTCTCTTCCTGGCAAACAAAGCCGCGCTGTGGAAGGGCTGGGCAAAGCAAACATGAGCAGACGGAAAGGAACTCCTGTGATGTGACACCAAGATAAATAAAGGCGACGAGCACGGGAACGTTTTGAATGCTGAGGTCAATTAGTGGCCTGCTCGCTCTTCCCTCCTTGACTGCATTTGGAAAAACAATTTCCCGCCGTGTGAAACTCTTGCCTGCTACAGCAGATCTGACCGTCCTGTCAGGCTTTCACCAGCCCTGTTAAATTACACACACAAAGGAAGAAGTGCCCACACTCCTGAGCTTCTAACCTGTCTCCATGGTCAAATATGGTCCCAGGTACTGGGACATTAAAGAAGTTGCTGGTCCACATCAGTGGTTTTCTTTGATATTCTTATAAACAAAGAAGCTCAGTGACTTTAAAGTACTTAAGTTTTCTCTTTTTCAATTAAAGGGTAAATTCTCCATCCCAGATCTTTCATATGCCTTCTACATATGAAATAATGCCAGCTGATTGAACTTCTTAAATTTTGTTTTACCACTATGCTTTTTCACCCAGAATTTTTCTAATTTTAATGCTTTTTTGCCAAGCTGTCCAAAATCTGTTGTCCCCTAGAAAAACCCCTGTGCCTCCCAGTCACTGCTGCACTCTGCCTCTATCTGGGGAAGTTAAGGGGCCAGATCCTGACTCCTCCTCAGGCACAGCAGACTACCTGTGAGAGCCCAGGGTCACATGGCATCGCCCTTCATGCCATCTCTAGACAACCATCATGAAGGGTAGCAGAGGAGACAGTTCTTAGGAAGCACACAGATTTCCACATCAGGAATAAGCCATTACTGCTAACCTTCAATCTCAATGACATCGTCACATGGTGGTTAGATGCTCGGGCCAGAGCTCGGGGGTGTTCAGTCTGTTCTTTTCTACCTGTGTGACTTTAAACATGTCACCCAAACTCACTGTGCCTCAGTGTCCACATTAGTAAAATGGGGTTAATAGTAGTATTTAACTTATAGAGTTGGTGTAAGAACTAACTGGCATTGTCATTATACCCATAGTAAAAGTGTGCGTGTCCGTGTATATTTGCATTAGCTATGCAGTATACTTAGGAACCAGCCTTCCAAATAATTTTGTAGATTTTATTTCCTAAACTTCAGTACTTGTTGGGCAGTGAATGTATTACCAGCACTGGTGATGAAGTAAAAAAGGGCAAAGCAGAACTCAGGAGTTATCTCCAGGGAGTGCCCTCTCCCCCTTCTTCGCAGGGTTGCCTTCCTCTCCCATAGGTCCTTCCAGTGTCCATGACCACTCATCTTTCAGAGGGGGTTTATGGTGGATTACCCAAGAAGTATTGCATGTTAGCATTGCTCTTTTCATATGCACATGTTTAATGGAAACAAAAATCTAAATGTTGTTTTCTACTCAAAGTATAACATTAACTTTCAAGATGTCGTATAATGTTTTTTTTTTCTGTTTCCCCTTTTTTCTGTAGCCAACATTAATGCAAATTTTGGGGTCAGTCTCACAGCATTGCTCTTCACAGTCATATCCATTTGTGCTACTCTAAGAAAGTTCAGTGCTGAGTCTAAAAATATAAATACAACAAAAGATTATAAAGATACTTTTAAGAAAAGGCGTCATTGCCACATTTTTATCATGATGCCACCTCAATACATATGAAACATGATATGATATATTAAAAATTCAGTCTCCGTGTAACTTTCAAACACCTGCATCAAAATAAACCATAATATATAAGACAGTCATTAGATCTTCATGCCATTTAAGAACTATTAAAATTGAAGTTGTAAGTATGAAAGAAACAATTTATCAAGTAGCTTTTTAAGGCCATTGAATTTCTCTTTTTCCCAAAACTGTGAGATACAGCTTGTCTAGCCAGCAGGCACTGCTCTCGGAGGAGATCAGCTCCGTGCACCGCAAGGCCTCAGCTCGGTGCAAGCGTGCAGCTGTGGGAAGCTCTGGTTCTGAGCTCGCGTGGTGGGTTGTGGGCACAGCACTAATTCGCCGGGCTGGTGCGTAGGCAGCCGTTGAAATAGTGTTCATTCTCTTCCAGTCCTGGCAGCTGCCGTGTTTGCTTTCCGAGCAGTCAACCTGATGGAGGTGACATCACTGGCTGCAGCTGAAGTAAGGATAAGTTTCACTCCGAGGGGATGGAAATAGCTTCTGAGAGGCTGCCAGCCTCGGGCACTTTAGTCTCAGATGCACAAGGCACATTTTACTTGTAGCCTAATTTTTTAACTTGGGTAAAATCTGTAAGTTCTGAGCTAAGTAGTATTAAGTATTCAAAATTCCTTAATGACTTGAAAATAATCTTCTTGTGAGGGAGTCATAAACAAGATTATTATAGAAAACCATTGTAATCATTATGGGAAACAATATACCTTGTAATTTTAATAGAAACTCTGGGGTCTTATGTTGTGTTTTCTTATTAGTGTTCCCACCATGTGTTATGATCATAAAACAAAGAAAAACTAGCTGAGAGAGTTAGAGGGCATGTGTTTGGATGACAGAGTAAAGACACATGGGCTTTATTGGTTATGTTCAGTTGTGAGTTAATTATTTAAAGCTGGTTTCTTTTCAATAGTATAATTTATACCTGAAACATGGTCAAATTAAATAGTGGCTTACCATATGGCTCTACTTGTTAACTCTCACAGAGACGTAAGTTTTATCCTCAAATAGCCGCCTGAGTCCTTTGTTTAAAGAGAAGAAGAGAATGTTTGTGCATCTTGCAGCTGGGTGAACATCAGCTCCATCTCAAAGGGATTTCCTGAAGTCGGCTACTCCTTCTACCACTGCAGCAGAACTAGGGTTCCTAATGCACGCTTATTTATAGAAGCAAGTTGAAATGTTAGACCTCTTATAAACTCATGCTACCTTGTATATTTGAGGAAGGCTCAGGGCTCAGGTCCACGTTAGCATTCTGCACATGTTCTAACATTGAGACACTCAGAAAAGAGAAGGGACGTCGTCGTCTTCTTCAGAGGTTTGGGACAGATCTGAAGAACTTAGAGTGTGTGTCGATCCCAGAATTTCATTGTGGAAGTGTCTCTGTTGTACCTCATTTCATAGGCTTCCCTTTGCTGATGAGAATACTGATATTAATCATTCTTTTTGTTTTTGTTTCAGGCAGTTCTTGCTGACCTTTCTACTCTAAAAGTTATGCCTCTTCTTCAAATTTTTTTGTTTGCTACTGTCACCTGATCTTCTCCAAGGTCACTGACAACACATCTAGTTTTTCATTAGCAACTAATCATGAACTATGCAAACTCTGCATAAAACCAAAATTAAACTTCGTATATAAGCCAATAAAGATCATGTTCCCGCCTCAGTTAAACCTAAGTTGTTTTTCACTTTTTGAAAAAATAACTCAGCACACCAAATATTGCACTGCATGCTGCTGGTTTCCAAGAGAAGCAATAGACAACTCCTGCTGACTTGAGCGCACTATATATATATTCCTGACCTGTAACAAGCATGTAACAATATACGCAATAAGAACTGAAGATTCTGTAATAAACTTGAAGAGGCAATGCAGCTTCTGGGACAATTCTGTTAGGTCCGTCTGTAAGTTTACCTCTAGATAATGTATTAATAGCCTTGTCTTATAAATTTCCCTTCTGTCAGAACCAGGGGTGGGGTAGGATGTGGGAAGACTGAAAAAGATAATGCTTTTAAGTAGAAATTCAAATGTACTTGGGTGTTTTTATCAGCGTCTCTCTCACCAGGGATCTATGTCCCTCTCTCCACTTTATTTCTCCCTTAATGTTTGTACTGGGGGAGGTCAAATACAATTGTGTCCACCTGACAGTATTGTATTCTTTATTTTCTGGGGGGAAAAGTCAGAATTATGGCGTGATCTGTCCAAACTTCTCAACCTCCCAATCTCTCGGTTAGAAGACGACACTGCTGAGGCCCGTTGCCAGGTTCTGTTACTTTGGAAATACGCCAGGAGGACACCTCAGGGTTCAATGAAGGGAATGAAAAGGCAAAACCTTACAGGCTTTTGCTGGCGCTTGGTTTAATGCAGTGTACTTCCAGGGGATAGCAGCTGGGACCAGCGGTACATACTGGACAGTCACCTCGGAATTGAAGACGTCATGCAGAGCATCAGCCTTCTTTTGGTCTTTATTATAAGTGAAGGGTCTTGCTGTGTATTATTTCTTAAAGGCCTACCATTTCTGTAATTTGGAATAATAGTGTCTGAAAAAAAAGAAGTCCAAAAACCATTGTCTTTCGATTTTAGGCTAAAATTCAAGATGCTGATCATTGAAACAAAACTCTAAATCAATAGATTGATACTCTGAATGCTTAGAATTGTATGGAGTTTTATCCTAATGTGCTCATGAGTCATTTCTGTGTAGAGTGTATGAAGTTTAGCATAATACTGCAGGTGGGGTGTAATATAAGTAGGCATTCATTGGAAAATATTGTGCTTTTATTCATCACGTACTTGTTGACTTATTAAGGACTAAATAATTTATTCAGTGATCGACTCCTAATAAACCCCATTTTATTGTTTCTGCGGGCAGTGCAGTTAGGCCAGATGCTCCGCCATTCCCTGTGTGCAGATGCACACTCACCATGGGGGTCATTGTGCCACATCTGTGACTGTTGTCGTCCTCCTTCCCTCAGTCTGAGAAAATGAGAGAAACATGTTAGGAAGAGAGAGTTTTAAATGACTATGGTTAATTCGTACAGACACCCCCATTGTTGGCCTCTTTTCTTAAGAGAATATTCTTAGGCCTTTTTGAAAGCAGCAGTCTAGGGGTCAAGCAGAAAAAAGACTAGACTGGATCGTTTGGTTCCAGCTACAAGTCCCTAGACAGTTGCTTTCTCTTATCTGCAACTGGGGGCAGGGAGGACAGGCAGCAGGAAATTATTTTATTTGCTCTGTTTACCTTACAGGGCTGAGTAAGAGCAAATGAGAAAATATATTTGAAAGGGATTTTTTTAAACTGCAAAGCACCAAGCAAGTATAATTCATTTTAAATATGGCATTTTGCGGTTAAGTGGTAGACGATTATATATGAAGACTGTCCACCCTCATTAGCTTTTGTGTGACTTTATTTGATATGCTGGGACTGTGTCTATAAAAACTGAATGTACCGTGCATAGCAGATCCTTGCGTTTGGCACCGGTGGCTCCAGCCGGTCGCTCTGGGTCTGAATCCCGAAGGCGAACCCGGACCCCCCAGGCAGTGCTGCTCTGCGCGGGTTGGAGTGTGGCGTCGAGGGCGGCGGGGCTGTCTTGCCCACTCCGTCTCCAGCTGCGCCTCCTCACACTACCTCTCTGGTCCCTGCCTCCTGCGTCCCCCGTCTCCCGCCACCTGACACCCCCTCTGCTCTGCCGGTGCTCACGGGACCAAGCGGCCTGGCTGCTTAGCGAACCACTCTGGCTACGCGTCGCGCTGATGGCGGGACAGACGAGGGACCCGTTGTGTTTGACTCTCCGGATTTCAGTTCACCCACTAGAGGAGTTTATGGAGCAGTCTTTTTGATCAGAATGTTTTGGTAACGCAGTGTTCCGGCTGGGTGAGCTGTCCAGCTTGTCCTAACTGCCTGGCAGCCCCTGCCGCTCAGCAGGGACGCTCCTTCACAGGCAAGCAGGGACCATTAACCTTGAACTCCCGCGCAGCCCTCCGCCCCTTCCTTCTAATCTCAGGAAACGTCTAATCCGTTCCTGCAGCTCTTTCTATACAGATTCAATGGGGTCACTTACGTGCTTAAAAGTTAAACAGCACTCACTTCTTGACGCTGAAGTCCAGGCTCTGTAGCAAAGCAGGGAAAGTTCTCTGCAGCTTGGTCTCCCAGTGCTGTGCTCCAGCCTCACCCAACTCCATGCAGGTCCCCAACCCGCTGTGTCCCTTCACTCTGTCTCTGCCAGGACCTCGCCTTCTCACGGCCCCACTAAAAAGTCTGTGTTGTGCTGCCCCGGAGCTGTACATTAGAATTAATTATGCCCGTCTCTTTGTTCTCATCAAATGTTCATCCACTAACGTGCTTAGAATATTGAGTGATAGCGTTTTGTATACATGTTCTGACATCACTTTACTCTCAAATCCATTTTCATTGACTAGTCCTCTGATGGAAGATGAAAGAAGCAATTTGTCCATGTGCATTTGTATCCCCTGACTCGTACTGAAAATTGTCAGGATCTATTTTTGTTACAACATCATTTCTCCTCAGAATCCAGTCTCCCTTCTTCCACAAAGGCTCTGTTTTTTATTTGTTAACTACCCCTCCCCCATGAACTTCAGGTGAAGCTGACCCCTACCCCCAGGACCTGTGGGTCCTGCTCACACCAGTCACCTTAAGCCAACCTTCTAGCCACAGGGGTTGCTTCAGGGGTTGCTTCGGGATCAGTGCAAAACCTAAGGCCAATGAGGACCAGTGAAACTTGATTACAAGGCTGTGGTTTAATCTTTCAGGGCTGCTGGATATGAAAAAGGGAGGAGATAGGGTCTGGAGCTGCTGTGGCCTAGGAATGGAAAGACTGAAAGCTGTTCTGTTGACCTATTGATCCCCAGGTCACACTCCACCAGTCTACCCTGGACTGTTTCATCACATGCGCCAAAAGATTCTCATTGCAACAGAAGCATCCTAACTGAAGGTATAGTTATTTGGCCATTCAGGTGATCCACTGTATCATGGATATCATTATTTCGGTAGGACCCCTGTCTATATACTTTAAACAAGAGGAATCCTTTCTAACTTTTAAAATCAAGACACACCCTGGTCTTACAAGCATGAATTCTATGTTTCAGACCTACTAAGCTACCTGAAGTATACCTCGAACACGTGGTGTCTCTTCTTTGGCCCTGCACCTATACAGCACCGTGTGCTTGGAATGCCTTCTCTTCCCTCTTAACCTAACTCTTACTTGTACCTCAAAACCCAACTCAGGTGTTGCATCATCAGGGAAGCCTGGTTCTCTTATGAATTCTCCTCATACCGTAAATATACATAAGTTGTACCATAATCACATAGTAGCTTGTATTTCCTACTAGACTGACTCCTTAAAGGCAAAAACGGTTTCTTTCTCAGCTTTATATCTCTGGAACCTGGTGTAGTCCTTACCCCATAGTAGGCCTTAATAAATGCTTATTGAATGAATGAATGAAGTCATCTAATAGTATNCCTTACCCCATAGTAGGCCTTAATAAATGCTTATTGAATGAATGAATGAATGAAGTCATCTAATAGTAAAATCCACTCATCCTACTGATGAGGAAACCGGCTCAGTTCAGAATAATAACTTGTCCAGTGTCACACAACTATTTTCCCCACTAAGTTGATTTTTGTAGTTGCCCGGGGATGTCCAAAAAGGAAAATTATTTTGAGATAAAAAAAAATGTAAATGCTTCAGCTCACTCAACATTTTTCATTTATATCAACTTTATTAAGTTATAGTTTATGTAGAATGAAACATATGCATTTTAAGTATACAGTTCTCTAAGGTTTGACAAATTTTGACAGATATATGCCCTCATCACCACTATCACAATAAAGTATAGAACATTTCCATCACCTAAATCAGTTCCCTGCATACCCCTTCCCATTCAATCTCCTATATACACATTCACTCCAGGCAACCACTGACATGCTTCTGTCCCTAAAGGTTAGACTGGTCTTTTCTAGAGTTTCATGTAAATGGAATCATCTATATCAGGGATGGGGAACACCCGGCCCGCAGTCCGCAAGGCAACCACAGGTGGGACTCAAAATTCAATAAACCTAGAGCTTTTCTCATAGCTAACTTTTAAGTTGGTAATTTTGTATGACCCTTGAATGATGTTATAAATATTCAAATGGCACTTGGCAGAAAAAAGGTTCCCCACCCCTGATCTATATATATATATATACTCTTGTATTTCTGGCTTCATTTGCTCAGCATAATGTTTTGAGATTCATCCATGTTGTATAATTAATAATCCACTTCTTTTTATCACTGAGTAATATTTTATTGTATGACTTTCACAATTTGTTTATGTATTCTTGTTAATAGACATCCATGTTGTCCTCATGTTTTGGTGTGTTATGGATACAGCTACTATAAACATTTGTGTATAAGCCTTCATGTGGACATATATCTTCATTTACTTGGGGTAAATACCTAGGAGTAAAATTGCTGGGTCATATGTAAGCATACGTTTACCTTTCTGAGAGACCTCCAAACTTTTTCTGAAGAAGTTAGTTCTACCATTTTACATCCCCACTAGCAGTGTATAACAACTCTAGTTGCTCCAACTCCTCACCAACACTTGTTCTTATCATGTTAGTCATTCTAATAGGTGATTGTAATTTTCATTTCCCTAGTTACTAATGATGTTGAGCATCTTTTCATATTATTTTCCATTTATACATATTCTTTTGTAAAGTATCCAAATCTTTTGCCCATCTTTAATCAATATCTTCTGAAGTTATAAGAATTACTTATTCTGGATACTCTTATAGTTTATAAAATTTTCCCCCAGCCTATGGCTAGTCTCTTAATTTTCTTAACTATTTTTAAAGAGCAAAAGTTTTTATTTTGTTGAGTTCAATTTAGCCATTTTTTTCTTTTATGATTCATATTGTGTGTCCTAAGAAATCTTTGCATAACTTAAAGTCACAGATTTTTTTCCTGTTTTCTTCTAGAAACTTTGTCATTTAGTTCTTACTTTTAGGCCTATGATTCTTTTATTTTTAGTTAATTTTTGTGTATGATACAAGTTGAGGATCATGTTTTTTGCATATAGATATACGACTGTTCCAACACCATTTATTGAAAAAACTATCCTTTCCCTTTTACACCAGCACCTCTGAATAAAATAAATCGATCATATTACAGGTGGGCTTATTTCTGGTCTCTCTTCTTTTTCATGGGTTTATGTCTATCCTGATTCCTGTACCACGCTCTTGATTTTTATAGCTTTAGAGTAAATCTGAAAATGAAATAGTGTAAGTCCTCTCCTTTTCTTTACCTATGTCAAAGTATTTTGGCTATTCTAAGTTCTTTGCATTTCTAAATAACTTTTGCAATCAGATTTTCCATTTGTACTTAAAAAACAAACAAACCCAAAAATCTGCCGTGATGTTTATTGAGATAGCATTGAATTTAAAGATCACTTTGGGGACAATTGATACCTTAACAATATTTAGTCTTCCAATCCATGAACATGGTATCTCTCTCCATTTCTTTAGGTCTTTTTAAATTTCACTCAGCAATATTTTGTAGTTCTCCATGTACCAAACTTGCACATATTTTGTTAAAATTATTTCTAATTATTTTACATTTTTATGTTATAAATGGTATTTTTAATTTCAATTTTTAATGGTTTGTTAATATGTAGAAATACAATTGATTTTTAAATATTGATCTTGCATCTTGAGACCTTGCTAAACTTACTACATCTAGTACCCTTTTTTGTAGCTTCCCTAGGATTTTCTACATATGCAATGTCATCTATAAATAAAGACAAATTTACTTCTTTTTTTCAAATCTATA